GCTTTTGTGGTTCCCGAGTTGAAAGTGCGGGACAAAATGTGGGACACACACACACACAAACACACACGTACACAGACAACCCCGTGACAATATGCGTTTTGTAACGCTGTTACACAGCACAAAACGCATAAAAAGGCAGCACGGGCCGTAAAGGCCTTGTAGGCGAAAGGAAAAAGCTAGTAACTGAGAGGCAGGAGCAACAGCCCATTCAGTGAAAGGTAAAGACCGGCAAGGGCCGTACCTGCCATACAAGGTGACTATGAACAGCCCGTCCGTACGACGACGGTCAACCCTTTTCCCAGTTTTTGCATAGTCCCAGGGTTGGGGGACTCCCCGCCCCGTTGCCTCCCCGCCCCCACAAGAGCTCATGCTGGACCCACCCACAAACTAAGACGAAGAAACGTCAGATACAAAAACACCAAATTACGAATAAAAGGAAACTAAGCATAACGACCCGGGCCTTTCCAGAACACTATCTCAAGCATAATCAGAAGCTCTAGAAATTTTTCAAGCGACGCCCGCTCCGACAGGAAATACAATGCCTCCGGAAGAGGTTTAGAGATTAAAAGTAAAACTGGCCGCCGAGAGATACAAGTTTTGAAGAGATTTAGAGGAAAAAGTTACCAAAGTGCGTTGAAAGAAGGTACACTTTAAGGAGGTTCAGAAATCAATAGTAAACACTAACATTCGGGTCAGATAAATGGTGGGAGAAATAGTACGGGAATGGAGAGAGTGCAGAGATTGATAAGATTTATTGAGGGTTGAGGCGTGGCGGTTGGTGAGTTCCAATCGATTGTCGGGGATTTTCGCTATTATCCGTTTGCAGTCTTTTGTTTTTTGAAGCATAGGAGTAGTTTGTGAGGGTAGTTCATGTATTCTCGCAGAAAATCGCAATGGACTTGAAAACTTGGCCCGTTGGGATGGTTCAGAATTTTCATCCGAGGCGCCCAAAAAAATCATTCTGGGTATATAACCAGAAGCCGGGTACCGGTGTTTTTTCTGTTTTTGATTTCTTCAAGCACTGATGACTTGGTATGCAAAGTATGACAGTGTTCTGTATTTTCCTTTCTTACAAAATTTTGGGCTGGAAAAACAAGCATGCGTTTTGTACAACACAAAAAATCAAAAATTCCCTCCGGATTCGCTCGCAGTGAGAGACAGAGGTATTTTGAAAGTAGCCCGAATGGTAGCAAATGCCAACAGCAACCACACACCGGTAGAGCTGTCTGTGGTCCTTTTTAAGAATTATTTAGAAGCAAACTGATGGCGGATTTGATTCTGTGGCAAAAAAAAACATAATTGGCCAATGCACGGGCAGCCCGTGGGAAGTTGCGTTTTTTTGCACAGTTCCCCGCAGTTTTTGTCGCTACCGGCACCGGTTTTTCCGGCAAATGCTTCTAGCTAAACAAATTAGCATTGGCCGCCAGAACTGTTATGAAACACCCCCTTAAAATTTCAGTTTTCCAGCTTTCCAGGCTCCTGAGTTAGCAACTTACCTGAAAAAAACTTGACGGGCCCTTATGTGGTTACCACACGTACCCGGAGTCTGGGTTTGAGCTCAGTGAGACT